GTGCACTCGATCCCCTTGTCCAGATAGTTGACAAAGATACTAAACGGAACTGGCCCCAAACCTGAACGCTGGGGAACACCACTTGTGACCAGCCGTAAGTTTGAGGGCTTACTGAGCAGTGCAACTGCAGGACACACAATATATCAAACATTCAGCTATAGGCAGCAATAAAACTAAAGCTCCTGGTTTGTTTCTTGGAACCTTATGTCTGCAATGAAACTGCCAACTTGTGCCAGTTTACACTGGCTTGGAATTTGCCTTTTAAGCATGATAGGAATGATGGATTATTTTAACATCTTTCTGATATCACCAGATTTATACATTATGATCTTTACATGATCAAAGGGTTGACTGCATAAAGTGTTCCTGTCTACTATGTGTTTTATAAAACTGCTCCATGCTGCACTTCTGAGAGATCAGTAAATCTAACTGGAAGAAATACTTTGCCATCCTTCTGCAGAGATCAGCAGTATGTTTCTTTGTTCCCAGTAAGTGATTTCTGGCTAAGATTTTCTTGAAAAAGCTTTGAAAAAACTACTGTTGCTGTCACAATCAAGAATTTTGAAAGTTATGTCTTTCAAAGGAGACTTATTAGCAGATACAAACCACGAGGAAGTAGATTTGTAAGGATTTGTCAGGTTTTTCTGCCTATTAGTAAATAACACAGGTTTAGAATTTTCTATTGAGCAGATTTTGCAACAAATCCAAGTCTAGGTTAGTAAAGATCTTTCAACTTCTTGAAAATTGTTTCTGTATATTAAAACTGTTCTAAAAATAATACAGAGTAACCTTAAGTCTTAAAACTTCAATCTAAAACTTGGATTGCCTTCAGATAAGACAGAGTCAAATTCTTAACTATCTGTTCATTGTACTAATTTTTTTTTTAGCCTGTTCAAACAAATCAAGTGCATTATTGATGGTTCCTGCCCAGACACAGAAGTTTGCCAGTATGCTAGCTTGTAGTTGGTAATTTTGATGGTAAAGAAACAAAGTTTTATTAAGGGTACAATGATGTCTTTACTGAAGTAAGCATATTGTCTTGTTCTTTACTGTTCAGAAATGTTCTGGCGTTTTTATCTTTTGCTTTCCTCCCCCCACCTTTAGATGGCTAATTTATGAAGAACCTGGTTTCCAGGGAGTCCCTTTAATGTTGGAGCCAGGTGAATATCCTAATTTAGCGTTCTGGGAGAAGAAGGAAGCCTACATTAGGTCCATGAGGCCCTTGAAAATGGTAAAATACTATTATTATTTGCAAGTTAGGTGACCTGTTTTTATGTGTTTTTTATGTGCTAGATTTTTCAAGACTCACAAAAATGTAACTCTTAAAAACCCAAAATTTTTAGTCTATAAAATTCTTTAACTTTCAACATTTGATTGCATCCATTTCTGCCTTTAATCTACCTTCTTGTTTTCACTTGTGTTTTTCGAGGAACGTTTCATCTTAATTCTGTCTTTTTGTGAAGTGTTGATGACTCTTACAGTTGTCTGTAAGTTTTCTAACTAAGTATAGACAACTTTTTTTTTTTCTTTTTTTTCTTTTTTCTTTTTTCTTTTTTAACAGGGTGGTCGCAAAGTTGAATTCAGTGGAGACCCAAAGGTAAAAGTCAATATTTATTTGATTGTCAAAAGGTATTTTATTGTACATGAACTACACATGGGTAGATAAATATATTTTGATCGTGTACCAACTACTGATGATTTAGTGGCTGGTCCTGCTGGATGTGGCCACACCATGAAACTGCAATTTCTGTCACGTTTATGCATCCATCACATACATATATGATAGTATTACCAGCTATCTGGGTAATGCAGATAGATAATGAGCATTCAAGCCCTCATGTTGCACCTCTGAGGGAAAGACCTCTTGAAGAGAATAGAGAGATCCCGCTAATTAGTTTAGTTCTCCCTCTATGTGCCCATGCAGAAGAAACTCTATGTTGTCAGAATTTACCATGCTCTCTGCAACTTTTCTTTTACTTAATTTCCGCTACAGGTAATCATTTATGAGAAGCCTTGCTTTGAAGGGAGACATGTGGAAATAGAATCAGAGATCTTTATACTTGATGACAAGGAATCAGAAGAAAAGACAAGACTTCCACTTACATCGGTGGGATCCATGAAAGTACTGGGAGGACTGTAAGTGTGGGAAAGCACCAGCAATATTTCCCCTTCAGCTGAAGTATTAACTCCATAGGCTGGAAATTGCAGTGGACAAATTCAGTACCCATTTATTTTCTCTGTTTTCCTAGTTGTTGGGTTTAGATACGTGCCTGGGTTAAATTTGCAAATATTCACAGCAAGAGAACAAATTTCATACATCTGTATCTGCTCCATAACAACACAGAGTGGCAGTTGTCCATTTTCACACCCAGACTCTGTTGTTTGTTGTTGTTTAGTTGGGTTGCTTATGAGAAGCCTGGGTTTGAAGGCCATCAGTACTTGCTGGAAGAAGGAGCCTATCGAGATTGGACAGACTGGGGTGGCTATGATGAACAGCTGCAGTCCCTGCGACCGATCATTGGCGTAAGTTCCAAGAACGTGCAGTAGGCATCTCCTGAGTGCACTGAGACATCATGTTGCATTTTCTTTATGATACTTCTCTTTGTTTTAACAGGACTTCACAAGCTCGCATATGATAATGTACAGTGAAAAAGACTTTGGATCAAAGGGTTCCAATATTAACGTGTTAGGAATAATTTCCAATTTGAAAGACACTGGATATGGGCTGAGGACACAGTCTATAAATGTGTTAAGTGGCGTGTAAGTGATATTCTTAATCGCTGTTTAATTTTAAATGTGCTATTCTTTTTCAAATTTGATAGTATTTGCAGATGTTTTTCAGCACTCTGACTTCTAATGTCTGTGTGGAGTCTTCAGATAAAATTTTCTGCCCTTGACTGCAGAATGTGAAAAGTAAAGGGTTTTGTGAGCATGTACAGTAGATCGATTTTCTTCTCATGATAAGATCAGAGAGTCCCAGGAAATGTTGAGTTACTGATACACAAAGTATGAGATGACATTTTATCAGAGAGGTAGAAATAGCTTGTTCTTGTGGCTGTTTTTTGGGGTTTTTTTGTGTTGTGTTGTTTTTAAGTATTTCAACAGCAAAATTGTTATGGAACTAATTTCCAGTTTTGAAACTAATTTCCAGACTTCTTGTATTTGACCAGAGGCAAATTCCTTGCTCTAATCCCTCAGTTGTGCGTAAAATGGAGATAACTGTTACCATGCTCACTAATACATTCTGATATTAAGGAGACTTTAACTGTTCTGAAAAAGTAACATTGCTCTTACAGTGAATCCTATAGGTTAATAGTGTTCTAGTACTGTAACTTTGGTTTTTTATTGTTGTGTTTTGTTTTTGTTTTTTTTTTAACACGAGGGTTCCTAGGACTTTGCATTGGCATGGCCATTAACAACTCTGTGCCACGTGTGTTCTCGCACACAGTTGATAAATTGATAGGCTTTGCTGTTTGATTTGTTCAGTACATCAATTGCAGATTGAGTTTCACAGCCTTGCTGATTGCATCAAGTATTTTGGAAATACAAACAAGTATTAGCAATCATGTCTCCAACTATACAGAATTACTTAAAAGTAGTACAACCAAAAGAGTAAGAGACGTACAGTCTCTGTCCCTGCCTGGATGGCAGGTGACTTGCTGAAAACTCTGCCTTACCCAAGCCACACCCTAAATCTTCCTGTGTGTTATCTGTGTGATACCTCTGCAAGTTTTGTCTGGAAAAAGATTGCAGAATCAAGCTCAGTGCATTCCAGAGGAATGCTTTTAATTTGTATATGAATATGGTGCGGCAGCAGGGTTTTTTTCTGCCTGGTGACATTTGGAACCACTGTGCCCTTTTGTCTTCTGTAATAGACAAGGGAGATTCATGAGAAAGAGTCACCTCTGAAGGCTGGGAAACAAATTGTGGGTTACCTGTCATGCCCTTTGTGTAGTTGTTCTAGTAAAAGTGTCTGTTGCAGCTGAGATAGGAGTCATACTTGAGGTGGAGTTATTAATTACTAATTCTAGTAATTAAGAGTGACTCTAATACTCTGACAGTAAAGACAGCTAGAAATCATTTTAAACAAAACCCTTGTCCCACAGACTCTGCTACTGCTCCTGTAATCTCACCTTGTAGTCTCTTAAGGATGTAATTTGTAACACTATACTTTTTAAAAATTTCGATGCATTGTTCATAACAGGTGACTAGCACTCAGCTCATAACTGTCTTGTACGACCCTTTTGTTTCCGAAGAGGTTGGGAGTGTTTGGGGGTTATGTGGTGGTGGTCTTACTGAACGCTAATGTGTCAGAAAGGTTGAATGATTCATGTTAAGTCATGCTTGCTAATACAATGCTTTATTTTAAGTGTTAAGTAACTGTTCAGGTAGAAAATTTTTATCTCTTTCCTTCCAAGAAATCAGTCATAGTGTGATGAATAATCCATTGAGCAATTTCCTGAGCTGTTTAGACTGTAACGTAGATGGTGTCATAGTGAACTGTGACAGATGCAGTAAAAGCTTGTCATAATATTTTGAAGTAACCTTCCTGGTATCATATTGAAAATACTTAATTTTAAAAAGAAAACTAAAAAAATGTAAGAAGCCTTGAACCTTTCGTAGCAATTTTTTAACTACAGGTATCTGGGATAAGCAGTTTTAGCAGTAACAGATAGCAGATGATCTGTATTTCCCATGTAATTAATTTGATTGCCCTGTGATTTAAAGGGTATATCAAAGAACAGAAAGCCTGACACTGCAGTGCACAGATACTACTGAACAAGTTCTAAGCTAAACTGTATGCTGAAGACAGCCCAGCTCTGCATTTGGGCAGTGAATATTCCATTTTGGGGTAATCGAGTGCTAGCTACATTAAAATTTTCAGCTATTGTGTTTCTGAAGAATGTTTCCAAGCATTATTTTAACGTCTTTGCTAAATCCATTATAAAGACATCCCCCAGAAATATCCTAAGGTAACAAGGATTGACTTCTTTAAACATGAAAATGTTTTGCTCTTGAGCGTTCTTCAGAGACTGGCCAAGCATAAAATCCAGGATATTTTGTTCTTCTGCCATTGGGTTGGGAGAAAGCAATCCAGACTGCCTGAAAATAGAGGAGGCCTTTCTTCTTCTAAGTGCGTTTGATCTTTACTTCCAAATTGGCAGATTTTAAGTGGTGGAAAAATGGAAGTATTTACTAGCAACAGGCAGGTAACACCCTTTACAAGTTTAAGCAAGTACTAAAACCAACTGTTGTACAATTTTGATTTCCTCTGTGCTTGAAAACTCTTCAAGCTTATATTTAATAGTGATCAAAATCACAGGAATTACATGTTTGAAATGTGCCTTTTCTTTATTCATAAACACACAAAACTTTTGCCAAAAATACTGATAATGCCCCTGTCTTTTATTTGATCCTTTTTGAACTTGGTGGAAGAACTTTTCCAGATTTGTTTTTTTTACGTAGGTGTTTGTTTTACTGTGGTCCTGTAATTACCCTGGTTTTTCCCCTAGTTTTCAAGTAATTAGTCCACAGCACAGATTTGGCTGCTTCTAGTGTACATATGGATAGTGATATTAAGGAAATCATTAGGTGATGAGTAGTTCATATACAGGAGCCAGAATGTAGTAAATTTAATCTCGATGCACTTGGGAAGGTAATATGGGTGAAACTAAAGAGACACGAGGTGCAAGAATGAACCTCTGCTGGGAGCTGAAAAGGCAAGAGCTTGTGGGAAAACATTTCAAAGAAAGCTTCCACTTCTCTCCATCTCTGAACCGGGCTGACCTTCGAAAAAACCTTTCAAGGAGTCACAAAATTGAAGTTCCCAGGTCCCTGGGGTACTAGGAATCACAAGCATGAAGGGGTATGATAAAGAACCTGTTTTCTGTCTTTCCTATAAGCAGAATTTTATTACCTCATCCTCTCTGTTAATCATACTACAAATCTCAAGTGCCAGTTAACTTCCTGGCTCCTCTCAGATGAGCATGTATAGGACAATTTAAACCCATTGTTTCCATGCGGTATTTCAGCTTTAAAGATTGTGGGTTCTGTTTCAGACCTGAAGGAGTCCTTCTGTGCCTGAAAGCTTTCTTTTTACAGCTATGGCATTTAGTTTAATGAAGGTGTTGCCATTTCTTCTGTAGCTAAGTGAGAAGGTCCTTCCAGGACTTAGGTAATCTGTTCTATCCAAAAATGAGTCTGAGCAATGCAAAAGGGGGATTACCCCTCTCAGCTAATGTTAGAAAGCATACATGATGAGAAATGGCCAATGGTTTAAAAGATAAAGTTAGGTAGGATGAATTCTGGGCAAAGCTGATTTTTGGCAGATTATCTGTGTCTGGGGTCTTTTCTTGGCTGTTCTTCCAGACCCTGTTTGGAGCTGTGCTGCCTAGACATCATATCTAGAAGGCTTTGGGGAAACGTGCTGTGCGTGTAATAGTACTAACAGTATATAAACGATGCTTTTCTTGACATCTCTGGTTCCAGAGGCATGGATGGTGCAGAGCAGTGAAGGTCTCCAGCACCACCACCCTGCCAGCAACCTGGGCTGAGGCTGTTGCTCAGCCTAAGGCAATTTTTTAGGGCTGGGGGTTACAAAAACTGTCGTATTAGAACTTACTCCCTGTGGGGCAGGGTGGTTGTTGCCATGCCGCAGAACAGTACTTCAGTTTTTGTGGTGCCTGGCAGCTGGGATGTGACTCTCTTGCTCAGATACGGAGGCAGTGTCTTGTTCTCCAGGCCTTTCTCTTAAGTCAGAAGTTGGATTAAGGCAGTGCTCCTTCCTAGGGATAATGTTGAGGTCTGACAGGTTTAGCTGGTACTGAATTCAGCTGCTTGTCCTTGATGTTGTTACTGCTACTCAGCAGCTTGTGTGGGCTTCTGAATAAAGTGGAAAAGCAGAAATACTTCACCAATAAGCTGTGACTCCAGAAACTCTCTAACTGCATGGGCTGACTTCTGTGGGAGAGTGGTATTTATTTAACTCCTGTTGATTTCAACATAAAACATGTGCAAGTGAGATACGTTGATTACTTCTGTATTCAGGCTTCTTTTCAGATGGAGGAAGCAAAATAACTGCTATAGAGACATTCTTAGGAGGCATCTGGCATGTTTTATCATTCACTGTCAGAAACACTTGTTTGCATAGCAAGTTAAACTGCCATGCACTGTAGCTGTACCCTGGCATTTGTGCATTGAAAAATGTAATGAACGTCGTCTGAAGAAATTGGTTAAGGAAACCTCATTTTCACGGCTTTTGGTATATGTGGCATACAGGTATAGACACACCTGAGACATTTGAACTGTCTGCTCAATTTATTGTACATACCAATGTCTCTTTGATGAATTACTATGAGGTGATTTTGAAATGTGCCTTGAAATATGCCTTAAGTAATTAGTGCATAACAAGCTAGAATAATTGATTATATCTGAGGCAAACCAAGAGATGTGAATAGCGATAAATGTGAATCACTATGTGAGTGTTTGCCATGGACAAGTAATATAAAGTTCATACTCTCAGCACATATGTGTTGATGCAGCTTTATTTCAGTTTGAAGTTATCCCACTTCTTATAGCTGCAGAGACTCTGGCATTTGTTCTTGGAATAAAACTGCAGCTTAACAGAATCCAGTTGCTCGACACACATAGTGTATTTTGTGGTGAATTTAGATGGTGAGAGTTAGCCTCCACTGCAAATTATAAGTTCTGTATCATTTTACTGCTTTATGATATGAAATTTTTTGTTAGTGCTGAAACTCTCTAAGAAAACTGCACTGAAAGTGGGTTTTGGCATAACCTAGCATAGACTCATTGTGCAACACATTGGCTAAAATTAAAAGCTGATTGACCGTGAGTAGACGATTACCTTGTAGAACCAGGAACCAGCAAGATGTCCTGATCCCTGCATAAATCTAATGAACGAAATTCAGCTGTTACTGTGGTCAGTTCTAATATCAGCACTCAAAAAGACAACCAAACAGAAAAATTAGTTTAAAAAAGAGCCAGAATGTAATTATAGGAAAGTTTGGGAAGTCTGGCAGTGAAAGGCAACAGCAGTTACGCAGGTTATCACAAAACTAAAGGTAGTGCCGATGCAGGAATCTGGGCTTTCACTATGGAGCCAGGGTTAGAGGAATGCTGTAATGGAAGGTTGGTTGAATGTGGTAGACTCTGCATAGCGAGGCTAGCTGATAGCAGATACTTCAGACTAGAAATAAAGCGCTGCAGGGGTAGTTAAACATTCGAGAGGTATCTGTAGGGATTTGGTTGCTTTTCTAACACTTCAAGTCTGTATCTCAAAAGTTCAGTGTCTTTCAAAAAGACATATTCTGACTGAGACAGAAGTTATGGGCTTGATGCAGAAATCTGAGTTTGTGGCCTGTGTCAGGCATGAGATCAGACTGAATAGTTATAGTAATGGCTTTGAATTTAAATACATTAATCTGGTTAAAATTATGATGGTTTTAATGCTTAACTTTCAAGGATATAAAAAAAGTCTGTGATTCCCAGTAGGGAACAGCCTGCTGTCATTAGCATATATACCTGTTGTTGCATTAAAAATCATTAAAAACATTAAAAATCAATATTCCTATCTTTACTGCCCAGATGGCTCTGAAAGTTAGTTCTGTCCAAAAAATTGTATTCTGATATCTGTGTATTTTTTCCAGAGAAGAACTTGATCTAGATAAAACAATAGACTTGTGAAACATCTTGAAATATTCTTACTGGAGACAGCTTTTACGATATCTCACAGATGATGTCTTTGAACTTGAGGTCTGCTTTAGCTAATTCACTCTGATTCATGTCGACATAGTAGGGTGAATGGAAGTGAAATTTCCGTGGGTTTAGGAGTATCAAATACCGTGGTTTGTTTAGGATTTTAATAGCATCCCAGTTCAGCACTTGAGGGGAGACATGTTTTATTTGTTCTTACATTAAGACAGTAATGAATATACACATCTATGTTTTGGAAAAGTAGTGTGACTTCTACCCATTGCCCTCTTCTTCTGTCTTTTGTAGGTGGGTGGCTTATGAGAATCCTGAGTTTACAGGGGAGCAGTATGTACTGGCGAAAGGGCTATATCCCAGCATTGAGGCATGGGGGGGAAAGAATTGCAAAATATCTTCAGTTCAACCCATCATTATGGTAAGGACTTCATTTTATACTTGTTTTGCAAGTTTGTCTGAAGTATTTGGAGCTGTAGTTTTTCTATCAAATTCAGTTTATTTACATTCTTTAAACAGTAATGAATAGTCAACTTTTGTGTGTTTATTATTTTATTACTGTTTAAAAATATTTTTTCCCCCCTCCAAACTTTTGCAGGATATTGTTGGAAGCGAAAGGGGTAAAGTCAAGGTAAGATACTTCTCTAAGTGCATGAAACATACTGTGTAGTGTCTGTAACATGTATAAATAAAGAAATGGCTTTTTGTCGAGTGTAACACCGAGGTATTTGCATAGATGGTTGACTAGTCAGACAAAGAGTGAGAACTGCAGGTGAAGGAAGGCTGTTTTTTGGAATTTATGGTCCAAGGAAGGTGGGATTTAATACATAGCTGCCATCAGAACTTTCTCAGGGCTCAGGTGATGTTTTGTTTCAGCAAGTGAGGTGTTTTGGGGTATCAGTGATTATTCTGAGGAGCTGGAGCCTATGCAGAGGTGCAGGTACCTGAATTTTGTTGCTGAGGTGAGGGCTCTACAAGTTAGATGTTGTTGTTCGTAGTACAGTTGTGACTTAATTCCTTTTGAACCTAGTTCTTTGGTTAACAGTTCTGCTAATGGTGGTTGCATTTTAAGGGAATCGTGTTCGCTCACAAATACTGCTGAGATGTGCTTAAAAGTTAATGCCATCTTTGTCAATAATTAAGAGAAGGAAATGGCAGGGAGAACTTGTCTGTTCCGTGAGTTAACATATTTTTATGTTGGGCTGTCTCCTATGTGTAAGTACTAATATGTAGTTTTGACAGTGAGGCTAATGGGAGCCTTTTTTCATCCTTTCATAATTCTGAAGCTTTTCACACTTGTCCCTGTACAAAGTTACTTTTATTTTCATTTTGGTCAAAATGGTGAGTATATCATGGAACTAAAATGTAGGGAGAAAAGTCTTAGCTGTCTCATTTTGCATTCTTGGTTAGCAGCATGCCTCACTGAAATGTCCTACGCAGGGCTAATGGATAAACTATGGGGAATAAAAATCTCAAGGCTGCTTATTTTCAGCTATGTGCATGAAATATTGTTTGCATCTATATGTTATGTGCCTATTAAGACCTTATCCTAAGGAAACAAAGAAGTAATGGCTTGTAGTTAACAGGCTGCATCCCTTGTCAGCATGTTCCTCGTTGGAGAACGCTGTACGTGCCCACACTCGTATCTCTGTTAAGAGTGAATAAAGCTGGTAGGCATGTGATCATGTGAATGAGTTCTGTGTGATTAGGGTTAATTATCCTCTATCCAAATTAGCAGGTTTGCTGCTTAGAAATTTTTGTCTTTTTAACGAGGACAAAAGACTCTGGGTGATGTATCCTTTCTTATCCTCTGAGGACAGAAAGAAGAACTGACATGACTGTAACTATAGCTGTAACAGGCACATAAAGCCCATCTACCCTGGGAATGCATACCATACCTGTTGGCGTGCTGTCCGAGTACTTTGCCAAGATTCTGCACTGTTTTTGTTCTGAGACAGTTTTTGTTTAGTGGGAAGAGAATGTATTTGGAGATTAAATGGATTCATAATCTAAAACAAAACCGTTCATGGCCCTTTACTAAAGATGTGCCTATTCTGGCCATTCTGTGGGAATTTAAAAATCTTCTCCAGCCGATAGTCCAAGGAACTGTCTTTGTTAGTGTTGTCTTAATTATTTTGTATGTTACTGAGTGAGTTACAGCCAGAAGTAATTTTTGGTATTGTTACCTTGCTATCTTGAACAAGGATTGCAACACTGAAGAGGTAACAAAAAAATATATGTAACTGAGAAAGTCTGCGTGGTTTACATATGTTTTAATCTAATTATAGAAGTAATGGCAGAGACGTGTTACTGAAAGTTGAAGAATGAATTGTTTTTAAATATGTTTATAACTTTTTAAAGGTCCAGTTATTTTCAGAGCCTGAATTCAAGGGTAAATGCCAAATACTTGAAAAAAACACAAGATGTATTGATTCATTTCCTGTGAAGTCTTCAAAGATTTTAGGTGGCAGGTAAGTTATATTGAATGAATATTGCAAAATCACTAAAATGGTAAAAGTTGTAAAAAAGGAACCAGCTTTCTAACACCTGAAGTAGTTTCACATACAGGGGCTTACAGAGAGCAGTGCTTTGCAGTTTACACATCAATCTTTAGCTTGTCAGGACAAAACATTGTAAATAATGTTTCCGTCAGTGGCTCTTGCTAAAGACTGCAAAACACTAGCATCATTTTACTTGCACAGAATTCTTAAGAGGCAATTTCTTCTCCTTCTTCCTGCAGCTGCATAGTGTATGACCAGGAAGAATTCTCTGGTAACCAGTATGTGTTAGAAGAAGGAATCTATCCTGATCTGACGGCGATGGGTTGTTCACCCCAAGCAGTTCTAAAATCTTTACGGATTATAAATATTGTAAGTAAAGCTATTAGAAATACCATAAAGTACAGTACACTGATGACTCTGACTTTCCCATTTTTTGCAACAGTAAAAATGCTAGGGACGCACAGGCAAGAGAGGACTTTTGTGTTGGTTTGGTTTTTTTTTCCCTATGCAGTAGCAGTCAAATGTCAGAGCTGCAGTCAGGTTTTTTTGACTGCTGTGCTGTTTTTGCAAAGGAGAGGACATCACAGTAGCAGCTGCCTGGGATCACTGTTTTTAATAACAGCTTATAAAAGGACGTTTGTAAAAAGAGTCAAGGGATGTGTCAGATAGACTTTTTTTATTTCTCAGTAGGAGAGACCACTTAGAGTGGGTTGAGAAATTTCAGTAGCTCAGCGTAAAAAAACAGTAGTACTGCAGACCTTGGGTTTTATGCATACTAAAAAAGCAGACTCAACTTAGCAACTTTGCGTGAAGTACATGTAATTATAAAACAGTATCGCTATCATCAGGGAAATGCAATTTGAATTAATCATGAAATAATGCACCCTTCAAGATAAAGTAAAGCAACACCCAGTGCTGTTTGGCAAAATCAGACAGTGTTGTTGTTATATGTGGTGGATACAAACTAAAGAACATTTACATATTTTGTAACTCATCAGTGGCGAGGAATGAGTTTGCTCGAGCCTATAACCAATCATTATGATGGATCACTTATGGAATCTGCAAGTATCTTTTAAGATCAAAGTAATTACTAGCAAAATGTGGTTAAGAATCCAGGAACTTGCACCAGTATGAAGAGATGGTACTCATTTTAAAAAGAGGAGGAGTACGCTATTGACTCTCTGCTTTGAATTTGGCAACTTTATTGCACTCCACTGTAATTTTGGTAACCTGTCAGTGATGTAGCAGTTGACGAAGGAGAACTAAAATGTGTCATCCTCTTTCATGTGTCTGGAGCATTTTGATGTGCAGTGTAAACAAACATCTGCAGCAAGTATGTCTGCCTTCTGAACTCTGTGGCTGCCCACTAGACAAATCCTGTTAAAAACAACAGAAGTGTTTCTAGCCAGGCTTGGTGGGTGATCACCATGAATTAAAACTGCCTCTTTTGTACAAGTCAGTACTGAGTTTTTGGTTTTAAAATGCTTGTTTCAAGCTGGAAGGATCAGCTTACTTTTGGAAGATCTATTATTTGTGACAGAGACTGTTGTGTTAAAACAGCCAAATGCCAGTTCTGTGCTTCTTTAAGTCCTTATAACTTCTGAAACTTCTTCTGGCCCTACAATTTATCACACTTCAGACAGCAGCATGGAGCTTGCATCTGTCTGCAATCGCGTGCTGCTGCTTCCTCCTTCAGAGGCATCCTACCTGCGGAGAAGGGGGAAATGGGTTGCTTTGCTCAGCTGTTTATTAGCAAACCAGAATACAGAGAATAAGAAGTTAGGTGGAAATTATGATATTATACTGTTCATTTTTCATAATTTTACAAAAGCTTGAACCTTATTATTCTAGATACTGGTTTCACCTGTCAGATTTATTTTGGGACTTTTTTGGCAGTGCCAATCTTAATTCCTCCCCACCATCTGCCATTCCCATAACTTTCCTGGTGATTTTTCTGTGACATTTCTATACAAAAGGCACCTTTGCTATTTTAATATGTCACGTTACTATACTTATCTAGTTTAACTCTCCTTTGCAGGGATGTATTTCTAAGGGAACGTAAAAAAAGGAAACGAAAGGGATATTTGATAAACTTGGAAGTGAAAGTTAAAAGGCCTTTTGTTCATAAGCTCCAGGTTTTGGGGTTTTTATACCACTATATCTTTGCTTGATTGTGCTTGCTTTGGATGCTCCACGTGGTTGTGCTGCAGCTAGAAAACAGCATTTTTCCTTCATGAATTTGCTACATATTCTTTTTCCTGAACATACTATAAAAACAACTGTGAATGTGGTTTATGCTGAAAATACTTCTTTTTAATGAGCAGCTCTGCAATAGATACACAGGAGGACCAGCTTCATACAGTGCAGTACATAGGAAACACTGAAAGAAAACTCATGAGCTGACCTTGCACTTCTCTCTGTGGGGAACATTTTATGTAACAGTGTTGCTGCTGAATCTAAAAAATGCCCAGAGTGAAAGGTCTGACCGAAAATTGGAGGATTTCCTTTTCTGTCTACGTGTTTTCTTTGCAAGTAGATTATTTCTGAAGCATTGTATATGGCTCAAGGGCTGCTGCCTGACCAGTTGCGTGTCTCTGAGTGCCCGTACAGGTCTGTTTAAAAGGGCTGAGGGGTCAGAGACACCACGACATCATCATAGTGCGGCTGTTCTTGTTGGACTCTTTACCCATGATGACACAAGACAGTCTAACTGGTGTTAACTTTTTGTGGTGGGGATGAGCATACTCTGATTTTGGAGTAGGCTAAAAGGCCTCTCCTGGCATTTTCCACAGCCTAGCAGCGTGTGTGCAATCAGGAAACGTAACTCAGCTACCGTGCGATAACCTGGACGGCTGCAGAGATAATGGTGATGCTCACGCAGTGTTGTCATCCAGGCCCTTAAACGTCTAAAGGAAGGTTAAAGAGGAATTTAAGCACTGTCTATAAATTGGTAGACACGAGGTCCTGCCTCACAAAGTCACATGGAAGCACGGATATCTGTTGCCATGCGTGTATGGAGCCACCTCTGCCTTGGAGGGCCTGTTTCCATGCCTGAGGGAGGATGGGAGTCTGTCGAGACTTTGCGTCACGTCAGGCA